AGACATCCATGCAAAATGTCAAAAACATTATTAATCATGAGAGATGTGCACGATCCAGGCAAAGCAAAGCACTTTGTAACTCTCATCGAAGGATGACAGTCGCAGTTTAGTCAACCTAAACTGTTTAGTCAACCTGGGTTCTTTCTTTGCAACGTCGATTGCTGAGAGTCACTGTAGACTTGGAGAAAAGGGATGGACACATATTAGAGAAAGATGAACACATATTAGGGAAAGTCACTCTGCTTTTTCCCACTTCATAGGGAATAGCAGCTTCAGAGGGTGGTGGGGATTTGCAAGAGGAAGGAAGAAAGAAAGAAAGAAAGAAGGAAGAAAGAAAGAAAGAAAGAAAGAAAGAAAGAAAGAAAGAAAGAAAGAAAGAAAGAAAGAAAGAAAGAAAGAAAGAAAGAAAGAAAGAAAGAAAGGAGTGTTCAGAGTACCATATTTCTAGCCTGCTACTAGCCAAAAAAAAAAAAAAAAAATGCAGCCAAAATGTCTTTATAATGTCTGGTTTGGCCTCCAAAATCTTCACTAGCCCATATATATCTGTGCTAGTTGTTCTGAGCTGCATGGATTCTCCATGAGCAAAATTTTTTAAAATATATATGGGGAGAGGTAATCCTCGCTGTTTACAAAAGCTTCCCTGCTTGCTCTCCTGGAAGTTACTTTTCTTTCACTCTCAGTGACCATGCCTGTATCTAGTTACAAGCCTGTATTATTAGGAATTGGACATATGCTGGGGCAGGAAGAGATGGCATATGACTCTCTGTTACTGAACAATACAGAAACACCACCATCAAATCAGATCAAGTCTTCAAGTAAAAGGCAATAAATATAGTATATAACCTTGCTGATATCATGTTAGTAAAATTAAAAGCGTGTAGGTGAGAATTAACAATTTGCAAGCTTCTGGCATCGACTAACTAAATGAATCTGGCAGTTAATCAAGTTCAGCCGATGCACTGGATAAGTACAAAGTGTTCTTATCAAATTATCTCTCTTTTTTAAAAAAAAATTGCTCAAAAAGACAACTCCTCACCGCTAGATCTGAAAACTATCACTCATAAGCGAACTGTTGTTTTTCTAGGTGAGACTGAATCATCATCTAGATACACAGTCCTTAAATTCACCTTTGTTATGAATCCATAGGGCAACAACTATTTCACATCAACCTAGGATTTTTTGCAAATTTTTGCAATTTACAAAGTGTCCCTTCAAACCGTCAACTGACCCTGATCTTCAAATACAGGTAAGAAAAACTTGCCGCTTTTGCTGCAGTGAAGTCTCAGGTCAAGCTTCCTTTGGTTATTGTGTGTATTGCAAAGCTCTGTAGTTGCCACAACCAATTACAATTCCCAGAATTCCAATAGCATTAAGCCAGGACAGTTAAAATGGTGTCAAACCGGATTATTTCTGCAGTGCGGATGAGGTGCTTATCTGTTGTAATCGGGCACATACAGCTACAATAGGAGCAACTGGAGCAGAATCCTGCCAGGACTCAAGTTTTGCCCTGGAAAGCTCAAGGACTGGAACGATCCTTGCAGATGTTCCAGTTTTGTAGTTACTGATTTGTTGTCCACAAACGTTCACACAAAGGGTCTAGCTCCAAATCAAAAGATGGATGGCTTTTTTCCCCTATAGATTGAGCAAGTTCTCATGAGGATCCTTGCTCCATCTACAGTAGGGGTAGGCAACCTTTCCCTTTAAGGGCCAAGGGACTTCAGCTCCCAGAATCCCAGGAGCTATTGGCCAACATGGGCCTATTGGCCAATATGGCTGAGGCTTCTGGGAGCTGAAGTCCCTTGGCTCTTAAAGGGGAAAGGTTGCCTACCCCTGATCTACAGAATAAGCCACCGATCTTTTGATTTGGAGCTAGACCTTTTGTGAACATCATGGCGGCATGTTGCACCCATCTCCAACAACTAGAGAGATTGGGTGCAACATGCTGTCATGATGTTGATGCTCAATGCAACACTAGAAAGTTGAAGATGTCCTAGTTTTGTAGTGACTAATGTGTTGTCCACCAACATTCACACAAAAGGTCTAGCACCAACTCAATGGCTTTTTTCTGTAGATTGAGCCAGTTCTCATGAGGATCCTTGCTCCATCTACAGCAGGGGTAGGCAACCTTTCCCCTTTAAGGGCCAAGG